TTATTATTTTCACTGGCTCTTCTTTTCCAAAATAGATCGATCAGTTTTCTTCTATTTCTGGTTAAAATAAACCTAAAGTTGATTATTGTATCCATCAAGAATGTCATGTTTGTTTGAATATTCTGTTTTGCATTCACATTGATGGTATATCAGTTGACGAATTAGTGATCATACAACGACTACGTCGACGCGTGATGGCTAGTTTAAGAGTAAATTGGATTAAAGTTAAGTGTGGATAAACCAAGAGATAGTATCAGCTCATAAAGATACTAACTGTTGGAATGAGCCATGTAGGTAGATGCAAACTATGTGGTTGGATTCCATGTGTTCATTGCAACGGATGATTAGACTTTAATTGATTTGGCTAAAAATTGTTCTCATTGGCGCAGGTGCACTCACTGTTTGTCTCTCCTAATATAATAAGTGCGATTACATTGAAGACGATGAGATGGTTCTAAGTGATTCGGCAGTCAGACCAAACATCTGGGTCACCATTTTTCCAGACATGCAATTAATGCAGTGAACTTTTTATTTCTAATTTGCGAAAGAATTGCAATACAGCTGACTCCTGTTATCTCTAGGGTGCCGTGTAGCGAGTGACTCACCAATCATATAGGAATAAGGTTGACATTCATGATTTCCAAATTACTTAATAACAGTTTCGCATTTCACATAAACACGTCCTTCTGTTTTTCCGCAAAAGAGAATTTACTGAGACAATCCAAAGAAAAACGCCAGGACCGATAAGCTGTTAGCCATCATATTGTAAAATATTGAAGATCCCTAACTCAAGACGTAGTCTAAGCTCTTCCTGTCAATGTATTAAAGAGAAAGTTTAGTCAACTTAAACTTCCATCGACAGGACTGAAGATCTATCAGATAGGTAGGACTTCATAATACTGTACTAGTCACATCTAATAAGCCAATGAAACCAAAGTCGAGAAAGATGCATTTGAATTACGTGCAGAGGTTTATGGGGTACTATATCAAAGTTGGGTAGTTGTCGGAAGTACTTTGCATAGCGTATCCGAACGTGATCTAGTACATATGCTCAACCGAGCATCTTCGGTTAGCGATGTATCCAGTAAGGCTAGAGCAATTAGCGTCAATGCCAGCGACTAAAGAAGGGATTTATTTTGGGAAATTTTTCGCCTATACAGAACTAACACTAATTGTTAAAACGGTTGGTTTTACACGTCTACACGTATGGGACGTTAATTTACCTTAGACGAATATCTACACTAGATTCCCTTCTACAGGACTTCGACACAACTCAGATCAAGAACGTGGTTAGCCTGACTAGGACGTAAATATATTCCACACAAAAACCCGACACAGTCCAACAACAACGAACAATCAATAATAATAATTATAAGGATATGGGGATATATAATTCATCTGACACCTGTCAGATTAAGCAAACAACCAATCATTATCATTCTCGCACATACATCACTAATCATCCAATCTCTTGTCCTTCCCAAACTAAAACTAATTACTCATTATATGTGAAAATTATATTTGAAATATTCTCAACGATTGAAATATAACTAATTCCAACGTTTCGTCCAGCTAACTTGTCTGGACTTCTTCAGGGTAATAATCAAAATCAAAATTATCAAAGACATATATAGCTTTTTAACAATCAGGATTATACTGTGTTAAACCAATCATATTTGGATGTTGATTTTTTGTAAAATAGGATCAAATGAGTCAGTTAACTACAAATCATGTGAAGAATTCAACTACATAGAAATAATTAACTGAGTAACAAATCGTATGTGCGTGAGTGTGCAGGTATGTATGTATGTGTAAGAGATTGATATGAAGGAATAAATAAATAAATAAAGTTCAAGGTGGAAAAATTTTTTGATAATGAAACATCGATGTACATGTCAAAACGTAAATTGTATTGTTTAAAAAACTCATTGAATTCATTCAAAAATAACAATAACGATGCATGTGATATTAAAAACAGGTTTAAACAAGAGATAGGTTCCAAATTTACTTGTCAAACGAAATTTGCCATGTAGTCGCCAGTTGAATACCATCTTTTCGGTTCAGGCTGTTCTTGTTCGCCCATATATGCAGCGCTTCTGCTGTCAATCTTTCTTTATGAGTGTTAAAACCTTTCTGAAGTATTTTGGTCCCTTCGAAATTAATCTTGTGCCCTGTTTCTAACGCATGTAACGCTATCGCTGACTTATTTTCAAGTTTCTTTAAATCAACCGAGGATTTGGGAACATTTTTCAAGCATTGTTTGTGTTCCTTCAATCTTACATTCAGTTGCCTGGATGTTTCTCCAACATAGGTAGCATTACAATCATGACAGCGAATCTCATACACAATGTTCTGTTGTTCTTCCTTTGCTAATTTGTCCTTAACTTTCACTAATGTCGATCTTAATGTGTTATTCGCTCTAAAATACACTCTTATATCATGTTTGTTTAGAATCCGTTTGATCTCTTCTGATGTTTCACTACGGTGAGGTATGACTACGGTGTATTTCCATTCTTTTCGTATACTTTCTAGTTTAGGTTTTCTTTCATTTTTAATAATCTTTTTTAAAAACATTTTTGGGTAGTTGTTATCCCTAAGAGTAGAAAATACTTTATTTAATTCGGTTCTTTGGTCTTCCTTGTCTGTAACAATCTTAGTACTTCTGTTCATTAGATTTTTTACCACATTAATTTTCGTGCTCTGTGAATGGGCTGAATTAAAATCCAAGTATCTCTCGGAATGCGTTGATTTTCTGTAGACATTTATTTTTAACTTATTATTGTGTCGACGTCCAACCAGACAATCTAGAAATGCTAGTTTGTGGTCAAATGATTCTAATTCCTTAGTTAGTTTAATGTTTTCAGAAATGCTGTTTGCATTGTTAAATAGTTCTTCCATACCATCCCGTTTATTGACATGTACATCGATGTTTCATTATCAAAAAATTTTCCACCTTGAACTTTATTTATTTATTTATTCCTTCATATCAATCTCTTACACATACATACATACCTGCACACTCACGCACATACGATTTGTTACTCAGTTAATTATTTCTATGTAGTTGAATTCTTCACATGATTTGTAGTTAACTGACTCATTTGATCCTATTTTACAAAAAATCAACATCCAAATATGATTGGTTTAACACAGTATAATCCTGATTGTTAAAAAGCTATATATGTCTTTGATAATTTTGATTTTGATTATTACCCTGAAGAAGTCCAGACAAGTTAGCTGGACGAAACGTTGGAATTAGTTATATTTCAATCGTTGAGAATACTTCAAATATAATTTTCACACATAATGACTTCTCTATACTCGGCGCTCAATTACTGTCAAACTATTCGTTCTAATCTTGACGAATATTCGTATAAAACTAATTACGTCCGCTAATTGCGTTCACTTAGGCAACTTTATAAAATATTTACCTGTCACAAATCTAATTACGGAGACAATTAAAAGTACCACCATAGTGCTTCTAGTGCCGTCCTCTCCTAGTATCTGTTGGAGAAACAAGTATTTATTACATCGTAACCATAAATCAAATACAATACTCTTTAAGCAAGACGGATAGCAGTGGAATTTAGGATGTGCGTTCCCTCCTACTTAGGTCCACCAGCCGGATATACCCGCATCCCGGAGTGAATACCAACTAGACACTATCCATCTCTGTTTAAAATCATTGTGACTTAATAGCAACATCGAGATAATCCACACAGGATGCATGTATGTTAATTACAGTCCTAAATATTAATGAGAGGCTTCAAACAACTAATTCAAATGAATTAAACGAATTGTGATTCAAACAAATGTCTTAGGAGCGAGATTGGTTAGGAGCATTTGGGAACAGATATGAACGGGAGTTGAATGCCATTTAGAACCTTGAATATTAACAAGTTGAATACTTATAAAACAGGGCTTTCGTCACAGCACTGCATATTTAATACTGAAAATTCTTTGCTGCAACCAAGCATATGACACTCAATGAGGCAATTATTAATAGTCGGGAAAACCAACCAAATTACATCGTACCAATTAATCACAATTGGCCAGCCCATACATCAGTACCATCGACTAGTGTCATCTCAAAAATTTATTGATCGCATATAAGTTTGCGTTAGCCACCTGTCAAGAACTATCCAATATGCAACCCAGAAATCTAGACATAATTATTAATTCCAGTTTATTCTATTAATATGAGTTGTACAAACTTAGATCTCTTATTTTTCATACCTAACTGTTCTTAACAAGTATATAGGTGGTCAGGTTGTTCGAAAAGCATTATGCTAATATATTACATCTCAAAGTTCCAATAAACTTAGTCCTACCAGTGTATGGTGCTTTCATATTTACTGAAGAAGTTATCAAACATTCTTAAAAACTGAGACGATCTAGTTCGCTAACCAATACTGCAAAATAATTGAGGTCATATGGATTTGGATATCTTTTTCTATGATTCCTTGATAGCCTACCTAGTTCAGTGAACAAAAACCGAGTAGGCATTAGAAAGTCTGGTAGCAAAAAAGAATGAACATTTCGTTCTGTGTGCAGACTTTCAAAAGACTTGACAGGTTTAGGATTAATATCATAGATACTTTTATAAGTTCTTCTACAAATAACAACCACTTAGTGTAATTTATGCATTTATATATATAGCATTAATACCAGTATCATTATTAACAACGGTCATAGTATAATGGTCTTCAGATAGTACCTAAATGGGTTCATACATATTATCAAATTATTTTACACATGAACTTAAAAACAAAGTGCTGACAGGCTCATTTTTTATTCAAATGAAAAAAGACAAACAACTTTATGATGAGTATGTTGAAAGTTTGTACTCCTTTTTAAAAATTAATAGTAACATTATTACAATAAAACATAAGTTTTGTGTACGAAAAAGAACTAGACAACGGTTAAGATAACGTGTGCTCATATATATATATGCCTATGTACAGAACAGTTTTAACCCATTAGGTATTAGTTGTCTATTATCAATGGTGATGATGGTGCCTCCGTTCTTTTGAATGAGAATCTTTATGTTTTTTTGAATGTGATCTATGCTTGGTTGATCTGTGCTCCTGCTGTGGTCCCTGTTCATGATATTGTTTATGACGACTTCGTTCATCATTTGCGTGATGATATGTCATAGAACTTGAAGTGAAATTAAGTTCGCCAACATCGTTACTACCGCCATCATTATCATCATCATCAGATAGTGAATGTTTTCTTTTCTTAACTGATTTCTTTTTCTTCTTCTCCTTTTTCTTCTTCTTATGTTGTTGTTTCAAGTTATCTTTGGAATGATTACTAATACTACTACTGACTTCACCATCATCATCTGAACTATCCAATGTTCTAAAAAGCATTTTAGAAATATATATGGATAAATATTTCATGAAATATTATTTACAATAGCGTTTTATACAAAATTAACAGTTATGACTAATAACTTAATGTTATGAAACTCATTTATCAACTAAGTAAAAGTTAATGTATTCATTGTTGGAAAAAGGCTATTTGTTTGTGTGATGACAACAGTTATCTGGTTGCCCAGAATGAATTAGGTGGTCGGAGTTTCAAGTTGAGACCTACTGGTTGAAGTTTAATTCTTTTAGCCTCTAAGCAACAAACATAATAATTCTTAATAATTATTAAAATAGCAAGAGAAATTGTAACTGGGTCTCGCAAACAAGAACTGTTAATTTTATACAAAACTGGTAGTTTTACAGAAGCAATAACTTTAGCCTTCCAGTCAGATTCAAAAAGCTACTATTTGTATAAGGAACTAACTTATTCATGAGAAGATTTGGCAATTTTAATTATATCAATGCCCAATTAGACGGCACGAAAACTGATCAGTTAAGTCAATAATTGGTATTTTATTAGTTACTGGATACACTTCAGACACTAAATATTGATAAGGTTTCATAATTCATTTTAATTCGAAACGCAACTACTCATAACAAGTTTCTTATCGATTAATCTTACATTTAGTTAAATTACTAGAATTATGTTTAAAAATGGTTGTCTGTAGTAAATATATCATATGTGATCTTTATTAACGTATATATTAACTGTTGTTCAAATAACGAGTGGATTTCGAACCGACGTTTACGCTACACCTTATACTAAATATCTAACATGAATGAAATGAAAAATATATATATTAATGTAATTAAATTCGCACATTCCAAATGTAGTATTCTTAGTGAGGTTTTAAAAATGTTTCCTGGCAGCAAATTTTAAAAATTATTAGGTTTTACATTCGCCTAATGAGGAATCCGTAGTTAAGGTACATGGTTTTCAACTAGTACATCGTATATTCTATCACCACTTTGACTAATTCGCTCTCGTCAAATGGATAATATAATTGGCCCCCTCATGAAAACATGATAACTCAAAGCTGAGTATAGAAACATATACGTGGTAAATAACAGTCATTAGTAATTTTAGGTCGGAGTATTTTTACAAAATTCAAGGCCGACTTGTTTTCTTCTGACTGACTGATTGGTCTAAGACAGAATATTTCTAATCCAGTCAAAAATAAGTATTTTTAATAGTTGGGATCATGAGTCAATTGAAGCTAGACTACAATGGAAAATGTGAGCACACGAACATATATGTGGTCGCTGAGTTACATTAACATCCACATAAATGTTGGTTATTTTATATGGAAGTTACAACTGATAGCTTTTATATATTTAAATCAATAACTTTGAAATATTATGTAAAATTATCATTTTTAGAAAATCATTGGAGGAATAAAAGAATAAAGGACCTAACGACATGAATACTCTAGCAGTGTGGCACATTAGTCACAGTGAGAAAAAAATATCAAGACGACTACAACCAATGTTAAGTCTCAATCAAACATCACTTGCACTGATTATTTGCATTTCGATATTTAATAAGATGTAAAATGATTCTAAAATTTAATTACTAAGCCCATTGCCTATATAAGAAACTAATACAACTTTTAAAATGATACACTAGATATACCCACTAGTCTTTTTACAAAAAATTTAACATTTTTTACTTAACATAACTATTTATTTTTAACTTTTGTTAGTTTGATTATTGTTAATACGTTCCAAAATATGATTCAGAAAAGTAATGGTTTATTGATTTGAGGAGCTAACTTTTAACAATTGTCATAGATTCGAATGGTGTGTTGACTCACAGTAGTTTTAATATCCCCTGCGTAAGAGATGTGGCTTATAGCTTCTATTAAGCAACAATACATTAGAGATCATCATACTCGCCTTGTGTATTTTCAGAAATATGCAGTTAATTATATTCCAAGTAACCACATTTCAGACAACAAACACCAAACAGTTAAGGAAATGGCGTATTATTTCCTTATTAAAGATGAAGCAGACATGGGTATATACCAGATAAAAAGCAAAACACTTTAGGAAGTCAAGTGAATCCAGATGGTATAAACATAAACTACTTCGGTTAATGTTTCTCTGGCTACTGTTTTAAGAAGAAATCTCATACTTTGAACTTACAGTGACACTGCCTTCAATGTGATTCCAAAATGATAAGATATCAAGTAAGTATAACTAACTGTCGCTTGGTTGTTTCTTCGTGTACTGAAGCGCGAAACTTAAATCCCAATATTGAAATGACTGTTTCACATTTGTAAATAGCCTAGAACATAATCGTGGTTTAAAAGTTAATAATTGGACTACTGAGTAAGTGATGTACAAGAGAACATTAATTTCACTTGGAATTCTCTTATTTGTTAATCAGAGATAAGAAATATCCAGAATTTAAAGTGCATAATTGGAAAGCGAGATTCGTGTAAACAAATTGCTAGGCATGTTAATTTTGTCAAAAACTATTGTTATTAGTGGAAAAATAAGGATACAACTGTGGTGGGATGGTTTATTGTCCGGTCTTTTAATGTTCTTGGTCAGGGTCTGTAGATGAATGTAAGAAGTCAATAGATTCCATTTGATTAGTGGCTATTGCTCGGTTATATCTTATTACTAAGCACAATCAATCGATCAACACTGAATATGCAATAAAAAAATCCACGATAAAGATTTCATGGTCATTCTGTTATCTAAGTTTGCACTATGAACTCCATATACCTCCAAATGATCCATTGTAAATTATAGTACTAGCATTAGCTTACATACCTAATGAACTTGATTGAAGAATGGAACAACTTCTTGAAACTTAAGAGGTTTAAGACAAGTTCAGAATTAGTATTTCATTTGAATGAGACACTATGAATACATAGCTAGTTTCCCTCAAAGTAGCATAAATCATCTCCAATCAATCAGCATGAGGACTGTTTATATGAATATTTACTTAACTGTGTTATTCATTCCGAAGCGACATCGTGGTTTATTTAATGGATTACGATTTATGTTGAGATTATTTATGACTTAATTTCTGAAATACTTCATTACTTATGATGTTATAAGTGTTCCTACATGATAAAGTATCCTAGTAGTGATTTATTTTGAATCCTGAAATAAATAAAGTATGTGATTAGTGGGTTAATCGGTTGGTTGCAACGTAGAACCTGGTACGTATGTACATAGATTCAAGTTGCCACACCTCATTAGCACAGAGATAAGATTGTCAGACGTGATGGTTCGGTATGATCCAAATGTGGCACACGCGCAGTAGGTGAAGCTTGATGATAGACAGTGTAAGGTTAGAAGTTAGTAATTACTGTATGCGTTGTAACTATTATATCACTGTTAGTTTCATCGATTTGTTATTCTCTACAAATTCACAAAACAATAATTAATAGTCTATAATTTAGCCCTGTGGTTTGCTGGTTAAAACTCGTGACTTTCAACTCCCGAGTCATATTTGAAACTTTGTCAACATACTATGTAGTGGACAGTCATTTAACATCACTTGCTAGTAGAAAAAGAGTGAGTCAAAGACCAGTACATGAGTTTGCACTTGCTTACTAAGTTAGATCAGTTACCAATGTGTAAGACTAGTTTAAAAAACTGAATACAGGAAAAATAAAAAGCCTAATCGTTTATAAAAGATAAAATTTAATTTCGGCCGCTATGGAAATGCATCGTCCACTTAGTCTCCTGGACTTCCAGGAAGTTAATTTTTCAACTCCCTTTTCTCTTTATTATTATTATTATTTCAACACAAATATTGGTACAGAAAGGCACCAAATATATATGCGCCACACCATATTTGTGTTTGTGTGGGCTGTGATACTGCCTGGGTGCCCAGACATAAGCAGGTGGTTTTCTTAGGGGGCCACACCCCGAGCCTTTGACCTAAAGGTCTAACCCACAAGGCAGTGGAGCATCATGAGGAGATGCAGTCCCATGATAGCCGGTGACCAATGATTGGTTCATACGCCATTTGTTCCCTTAGGATACTGGAGCCCATAAGCACCATTGGTTTGGGATCCGGTTAAAGTGCCGGACATTCGCTTTTCGTCCTCTCATTTTCGTAAACGACACCCCCGCCACGAGAAGGTAGTGAGTAGGACTTCCCTGACAGAGGCTGTATACGCGTGGCCATGTGAGAGCATTTCGAGAGGTAAGGTGGGTCCACCCCACTCTCAGGGCCATACCAGGGCATTCTCTAGTCTATTGCTATTAGAATTGCCTTTATTTTGTCGCTCATTCTGACAGTTGTATTGTTAGTGGAGTATAAAACACTTGGAATTGTGTGCTTTCCTTCCAGTATGCAATGTTTTATGGGATATCTACATACAAACTGAATACTCAGCAGCCCTACAGTAGTCATTCTTCTGTAACCAGCTAGATGTTAACTGATAAATTAAGTTTATGTCGTGAAACCAATAAACACCCTTAAAGTAACTCATTTAAAAAAACAGGTCCATGTAATTTGGTTTAATTCACAGTGTAGTTATATGCAGACTAATCACTACTCGAATGTCAGAACCGAAGTACGTGGAGTGGAGTTTAAAATCAAGATCTAAAAGTGTATTGACTACAGTTGTTACTGCAATAAATATCCTAAACAGAACTACTTCGTCCCCTTCAGAGATATTTCCAGATCTGTTACATATTTCACTTGTCATGTGTGATTTTTTCAGGTTTTCCTAATTTCATAATAGCTTTAGGTAGTGACTAGCTAGGTAATGTCCCTTAACCTGGATCGATTTAAATTCATATTACACATGTCCGAATCTTTGTCAGCCCTAATTATTTACAGTGATAAATAGGACTCATGAGCTTCAGAGTTAATAAAAGTCCTAAGACCGTGACTGAAACACGTCGTACATTTAATTTATGGTTGATTTAACACACCATAAATGCATTTCTTTGAATAAGAATTACTCCACTTGTAGCTCTTCTAGGGCTATTGCCGGTCTCAAGCTCGGGTAAAAGAGGTTCGAGTAGCCCTAAACGCCCTGATACGGTCGAGGGTGGGGACAGTCAGCTCTCCCTCTTAAAATGCTCTCACATGGCCACGTACATACAACCACTGTCAGTGAAGTCCTACTCACTGCTTTCTCGCGGTAAGGGTATTGTTTACGAAATTGAGAGGAAGAAAGGCGAATGTACGGCGCTTTAACCGGGTTGGTGGATATGAAGGATCCACCTAGGGAAGCTGTAAAACCTTGATTCCAAACCAATGGTGCACATGGGCTCCAGGATCCTGAGGAAAAAATGGCGTATGATCTTTTCGTCGGTCACCCGATACCATGGGACTGCATCTCCTCACGTTAGTCCACTGCCTTGTGGATCAGATCTTTAGGTCGAAGGCTCCGGGCGTAACGTCCTAAACAAACCACCTGCTTCGATCTGGGCACCCGGGCAGTATCACAGTCCACACACAAGTCAAGTGACTTGTGTAGTGCATATATAATCGGTGTCCCTTCGTACCAATATTTCTGTGTTTAAATAGGGCCGAGTGCAAAGTCAGTAACCCGACTCCGTAGAAAACAACCATGCTAAAACACGCTAACCAGAATAAATAATTTAAACCATTTAGACTGTCGCCCTGAGTTGAAGGACCTTCATTCGGAATAATTATGACGCCTCATGATTAAAGCCGATATTCTTCGGAAGTCATGAGACCGATACCCGTTCTAACAACCAGAAAAACGACAATAAATATGTATACATGGAATGTTCGGACAGTGTGGGAGACCGGAACAACCAACTAAATAGCTGCGGAAATGAGGAGATACAACTTAGAGTTTCTAGGAATAAGTAGAACCCATTGAATCTAAGCTGGACAGAGAAGGATAGATACGGCAGAGATGCTGCGTTACTCCAGTCACGAAGAGGAAAATGCCCACACATTCAGGGAGGGGCTCTGATGCTGTCCAAAGAAGCACATTACGCACTTATACGATGGGAATCTCACGGACCCAGGATCGTCAAAGCATCCTTCAAAAC